TACATATTTGCACTACAATGGAACCAGACAAACTCCTGACTTACTCCTGGCTTCAAGCAACATCAGCGAGCATGCACGTCGCAAAATTATTGACGATCCTGGTTCTGGTCACAAACCAGGGCAAAATAATTGACGATCCTGGTTCTGGTCACAAACCAGTCCGTGAAATAATTGACGATCCTGGTTCTGGTCACAAACCAGTCACCGCACAATAATTGACGATCCTGGTTCTGGTCACAAACCAGTCATTCTACTACCATCGGCAGCAAAAGCATGACAAGGAAAGTGCCAACATGATCCTGGTTCTGGTCACAAACCAGTCATTGCTAGGATTACCATCGGCAGTGCAAAAGCATGAGATGGAGAGTGCCAACTAAGCTATCATGGAACTTCAAGAAGCAAAAGGCCGACAATGAAAGTGCCAACTAAGCTATCATGGAACTTCAAGAAACAACGAATGTGCCAACTAAACTATCATGGAACTTCAAGAAGGCTGACTGGCCTAGATTCACAAACCTTTTAGAGAATGAACTTCACACAAGTCCCCTCAATTTTAACCAACATCCTAAAAAACTTTGCACTGATTTCACGAATATTATAATTAGATGTGCAAAGAAAACTATTCCCCGAGGTAAGACTAAACCAATATCTAGATAGTCTAAACACCTTGAGGAACTGAAAAGAAAGCGGGACGTTCTAGACACCTTGAGGAACTGAAAAGAAATCGGGACGCCCTGTGAACACCTTGAGAAACTGAAAAGAAAGCGGGACGCCCTTGAACAACTTGAGGAACTGAAAAGAAAGCGGGACGCCCTTCACATTAACTTGATAAACACTATCGAGTGTTTTGGTCCAAACACCTTGAGGAAGCTAAAAGAAAGCGGGACGCCCTTCGCAACACTGCTGATCAGTGTAAGAGGGACGCCCTTCGCAACACTGCTGATCAGACTGGTAAAGAGGGACGCCCTTCGCAACACTGCTGATCAGACTGGAGACGCCCTTCGCAAAACTGCTGATCAGACTGGAAGAACGCGTACAAGCCTGGAGACGACAATCAGCTGTCCTAAGACAAGCCATCTTACAAGCCAAATGGACCTCCTTCGACAAGTTCATCTCAAAAATCAAATATCAAAGTGATAGCCAACGCACTTTAAAATTCCTGGGTAACCTCCAAAACAACAGGGAAAGACCTAAGAAAGAACCAATACGTTTAAAAAACAAACTGCTTAACATCGACTCCAAAATATCTAATTGCTTTGCGAGGTTCTATTCCCACAAGCAAAAGAATAACCCTTTTGTCACAAAATCTTCAAGAGATTTGAAGATACAAGACAGTTGGTGAAATTAAGGAAGACATAGCATCACCAAATAATGTACTATCTGAACCATTCAGACTTTGCAAACTTAATGATGCGATAAAACAGCTCAAGTGCAAAAGGTCTCCTGGCGAAGACGGTATTCATGCGGAATTTCTAATTTTCTCCTGGCAAAGACGGTATTCATCCGGAATTTCTAATTATGTGTACCAAAAGCTAAGGAAACCATGCTGACGCTTTACAACAAAACAATACCATGCTGATGCCTTTCAAAAAAAATCTGGGTGACCAGTCTTGTACCTACCGAATGGAACTTTGCCGTAGAAATACCAATACTAAAAATTTGCAAAGAACCTAGCAACTTTAACAACAATGAGCCTATCTTTCTCGCAAGCATGATTTCTAAACTTATTGAAAGAATGTTTAAAAGGATTCTGACCTGGTTCCTTGAGACCAAAAATATTCATAGAAAGAAACAAGCAAGCTTTAAGGCCACAAAGATCAACTAATCAACACGTAGCCACTTTCTCTCAACAAATCAAAGATGCCCTTGATGCATGAAATACTCCTGCGCTGTATTCTTCAATTTCAAACCAGCATATGACTTAATATGAAAAGGGAAGCTCATTCTAAAATTGACAAAGATTGGTTTAAAGCATGATATGCTGAACTGGATAAAAGCATACATTGGTAAAGATAATGTAAAGTCGGATATGGTAGGGCTCTGTCCAAATATAATCTTGTAAAAACAGGTCTTTTACATTGAGCTCTCTCGAGCTGCAATCTTTTCAAAGTCTTCATCAATGACTTAGCTGAACTGGTACAGACAGTCACGAGCATCGAGTGTTTGTTACTTTATCTAGAAGATCTTGATTTATGGTATTTCACTGAAAAGCCATGTTGTTAAAATAGAAGAACGAGTCACCAATAGACTGAACATACTGAAGCGTCTCGATGGTAGCATATGGGGCTGTGCACGCTCAATCCTAAACACCACTTACACGATACTTATTGTTGTATTGCTAAAATCCACTCATTAGAGCCTCTGAGGTTACTCTCAATGCATTCGAGAAGGCACACAATCAGGCATTTCGACTAATATCTGGAGGGATAAAATCCACATCCATGGATGCAATGCTCATGGTTACAGAGAACACCACAATATGTTCCCTTATCAAAGAGAGTGCCTCGATTCTGTTTGAGAAGCTACTGCGCATTCCCATGGATAAATTCTCCTGTTTGAGAAGCTACTGCGCATTCCCATGGATAAATTCTTCAGCACCTACAAAACGCATCACCTGTAAACGCAATCTTGTCAAATACAGAAAGTCATGGAACCAAAGAAAGCATTATAAATCGATAAAAAAAACCAAAAAGCCTCTCTCTACCCATGAAACTATTAGTAGCCACTGATGTAGAATACTGCACCCAACTTCTCGACCACTTCAGGAAAGCAAATACCCCTCCAGAACAAATGCTCCCACTGACCCTGGTGACAATCAATGTCAAATATCCTACAGATCATTGACTCTAAGTCCTTACTGATGGGTCATTCATAGAAAACTAAGCACACTTTGATGCAGGTGTTTACTCTGAACTCTTTTCTTTCTACGCAGCAGTGGGACACAATAGATCATCATTCGAAGGAGAAATAGCGGCCATTAAGATAGCACTAGGCTAATTATGTTGCTTGAATACGAAATTTTCAAAAAAGCAATACTTTCGGACTCATAGTCAGCAATTAATTCCTTTTAAACAGAATGCCACCCGAAACAGCTGAAAAAAAACGAATGTAAAAACTCTACCAGCTGCTGAGTGAAAAATACAAACTGTGGTTCTACAATTAATTCATGGACGCCATGGCATTAAAGACAATGAGAGTGCTGACCCACGTGCAAATAAGGGACTTCAATTTTGCCAGGCATAGACCGGCCGACGCCTTTCCATACAAAAAATAACTTATTCAGGAGAGAATTCAAGACCTCAAGGTGTAAAGAACTTGAAACTCTAAAAAGGAGAAACAGTAAACAGTAGCTCTATTCGAAAGAGTCAACTGGCCAAGAATCAAAGCCGGTGCTGAGTTTAGACTACGTAGGTGACACGGTTGCCTGGCGAAACACCTTCACGGTTTAGGAGTATGCACTTAACTAACATACTCCCTATGTGGTCTACAGGAAGAAATGAAGAAGTCCCATCTGATTAATGTTCAGCTCTAAAGACAACGACAGAAATCCAGAGATGCTGGGAAGCCAGAAGACAACTTATGAACTGCTGTTAATTAACTGCTATATATGTACACCCACCCCACCCAGCTGAAAACTGAAGTCAACTAAGGAGCTAATGACAAATATCATAAAGACCGCCATTTGAAATAATAATGTTTGCAAGTGCTTTCTTTTCAACTCATCCAAAGTCACTTTTGTTGGTGTCGATCAATAGGCTAAATGAAGCTCAAATTCCTCCACCAAATCATCAGGCTAAGCATGTGAGAACACAGTTTTCACACTGTAACTCTGCTCACATTCATTGATGACTATTTCCAAATCCAATATAGTGGCAGTGTGAAGATTATTGGGTTAGTGGATGGATCACAGCCTCTCAATCGATGTCTGCCAGTTGCCGGTCCAGTCTCAATCAGTGAAATATATTGTAAAGCAGGTGAGTAGAGATGGGGAGAAGGTGAGATAGAAAGGGATCAAGTTTTAATAAATCCTCATCATGTGATTTAAAATGTCATTTTAGTAACTAATTTACGTGTGATATGAATGAGAAGTTTGGGTATTGATTTGAGTTGTCATGCTCACAGTAGGACAACTTCGCTCAGTGTGTGGCTGATGAACTCGATTGGGAAATGGGTGCATTCAAATAGGTAACATGATACCTTCCGCATTTGAACCTCTTGCTATTTGCATCCAAATCATTTTATTCTTTGTGCTTGGAAGCTCAATAAATGAATGTAAAACTTTATTGGTGATGTCTGATATTTCATGACATTCCTATTCACATTCAACTGACTGTTAAGCCACTGCTAAACCTGACCTCGTGAAATGTGTGCTAGAGTTTGGAGCTACATTTAAATATTTGGCTAGGAGATGAGGATGGTGGCCTCTCTTTTCGTCTGCTAGCACACAATTTAAGGGATCAATTCATAAATGAACACTGCCATTCTCATATACTTCAAACGCAACTGACATAGTCTATTGAATGTGAGATATCGCTTGTTGGGCACCAACTCTTATAACAACTTCTTATAAATTGAACTCTACACTTGAGTTAGGAGTTGGTGAAACTGAACACATTAAATTAATTGTCGGTTTGATTTCAACTTTATGTTCGGTTTTGATTTCATCTCTCTGAAACTACCTCGGATGTCACTGTAAATTAAAAAGCCAATCGTTTGGACATGTCCTCTTTAACTCCAATACTTCCAATGTCTACTTCCTATGTCAAAATTGGTTTAGACATTAAATACTATGCAGCTATATTGCCTCCTTATTCTCATCCATCAGGGTTTTGATTCCCTTTACGAAGTGAAAAATCCTTTTTCGGTTGAGATGTTGGGGATCAGTACTACATCGCCTTTGATCCACCCATTCCATTGAGACAGAGATGAACCAAGTGAGACTCATTCAATACAATAAATTTTGAGGAAATTAACTTGACAACTATTTTACTTGAGAGGTATGTTCATTTTACTAGTTTAAGGCATCAACAGTTGCCTATCCACCACATAGTATGTCAGTTTCCCTTCTGAACAGACCAACAATCTCCACATTCTTCTTCCGATCAAAGTGATGTCGGAAATAGTAATCAAACCCAAATTCTCTTTCTTCTCATCAAACATCATGGTGATACACTGTTGCCAATTGGAATTTCTCTCAATATGGAAGCACCTTACGACTTAAACCAATCACAAATTTCATTATCTTTAATATGTCATTTACCACACCTTTTAAAAATGCAATTTTATCAAAGCCTCACTCTTCAATAAATTATTTTACCTCAAAGACCAAATTCAAGAACTTATTAGCTAATCACTCTCATTCTACTCTCTTTCCACTAGTATCAATAAAACTCACTTCTCATTTCGAATTAATGTCCCCTCTCTAAGACTAACGTTTTTATCTTCAGCTAGAGCATCTAAGGTTTTCCCATTTCAAAATGCACATCACAATCTGATTGTGAAATTGATATCCATAGAATTGGCTATGCATTACAAATATCTCCAGTCAACTACAGTAACTGAAATACTGGTTGTGGATATTCTACAACTAATTTCTATCTACCTTGTTTCTTATTTATCAAAGTCCTATTTCATTTCATGAATTCATAAATCAATGCTTGAATTTCTCTCTGAGACATATTACTCGATAATAATGATCATCTTTGTCTTTTGCATGCATCATTGCTCAATTCTGGTTTCAAACTAATTTTCCTGCTTAGAGTCACTTGGTAATTCGACACATACACATTTTGTTATAGACGAGGTAATTCAGAGTACCTGCAATTTATTCAATCCTAAGATGTTAATTATATTTGGGTTGGGGGGGGGGGGGGGGGTGTGCGATAGACTTTCCTCCTCGTGGTGCACCCTGGGCAACGTATACTCATACGGCAAACAAGTCCATTAATCGGCAGTTCACTTCTGACTTCAAACTACCATCACCCCACTGTATGTCATATTCGACATCTTACACAGTACTCACCTAACCTTTTTCCTACCTTTTCTAACTTCGTCTTTGAAACTCTTCTGTTCCTCCCCTCCCCCCTCTCGACTATTTCTCACTTTGAGGTTCCTTCCCCTTTGTGAAGCCTGAAGTCAACAAACGAGCTAATGATAGCCATCAAAACGCCTGCCATTTGATATAAATATTTGGGTTGGTGCTCATAGCCAACCTAGTGGTTTGGTGAGAGAGAGAGAGAAAGATAGAAAGGATAAGACTGGAGAAGTAGTGACAATGGATGTTGACTGATTGCTTCAACCTTTGCATTATGGTCAACCTTACAAGCACCTGGACCACATAACGACCTTCCCTTCAACTTACCCATGTACAATAACAACTTTTTCCCTCTACGCTTCCCACAAGTTTTCACTCCATTTCCATTTACTCCTAGAGCTTTAAAGTCTAGGCCAACAACGCTTTCTTTGACTGGTTGCAAGAATACTAGTATCAAAACATTAGTTGAGCATTTAATTTTCACTCAATGCTGCCATTTCTAATTACCGACGATTTTCGTGCTTTTAACAACATTAAAAATCGATAACGATTACTTGACGTTAAATTAATAACCAAGTGAAGTCTCAATGCTAACTTCTTTATTAGGGATCACGATTACACTTTGGGCAATAACGATGTCAAATTGAGATCGAAAATTTGTGCATTTGGAGTCGGTCATTAGGGGAGGGTATATTTTGTAGCTTTAAAAGTTGCGAATTTGGCCAAAAATTAGAAACCACAATTTGAACATTCGACAAAGGACTTTTCAGTCAAAGATCATATGCAAAACAAAGAACATAAATTTAGTCATAATTAATATATTAACCATAAAATGACTCATTTATACACTCCATTATGCACGCATTGGTTCAAGCAAGGCTTGCGAAAGAGCTTTGAAGATGAGTGTCTGAGTTTAGGCAAATTAGTGTCGATGATAGTGTGTTGTTTTGAAGTATTACTAGAATCCGTGACATCGTGGGAATTGAAGAACGAGGCGGAAATGAAACTGGCAGTTTTGGATGCAGTAGATGTTAACTTTGCATGTCTCCACACAATCGTAGTAGGTTTTGGTGCAAGTTGGGAAGTGTCTGGGCATCTGAGTGCAGGTGAAAGTGGGATATTTTTTGCAGAAGCACTGTAGGTGCTAGTGTCGTTGCATACGGAGAAGGTCGTGTGGGTAATGGTTTTATTCATGATGATTTGTGTTGTGGAGGTGGTGGTGGTGGTCGTGATGATGAGGGAGGAGGTGGTCGTGGTCGTGGTCGTGATGATGATGAGGGAGGAGGTGGTGGTGGTGGTGGTCGTGATGATGATGAGGGAAGAGGTGGTGGTGGTGGTGGTGATGATGATGAGGGAGGAGGTGGTGGTGATGACGATGATGGGGGTAGAGGTGGGGGTCGTATTCGTGGTGATCGTGTGAGAAATGAGCTGAGGCAGCAAACGTGAGAGCCAAAAGAGTGAATACAAGCAGACAATTGCGAGACATGTTTGCTTTCCTTTGTTTCACTGCTTCACTTTCCATAACATACTGCTTATATACCATCGCCTTAAGTGTTGTGACAGAATTAATCAACATCGTTACACTAGGTGAGCATTCAGCTGTTTCATGCCCCATTATATCTGCGTACTTTAACAAGAAATTAATTTAGTGACAGATCTGAGGCTACCAAACATAGAGAGGAGGAACTACCAATGATTAATAAAACACGTTTTATTGGATAATCGTACAACCAAAGAATGTCTGTTGTCTCGTAATATCTGGTATAATAATGCCGATTCAAGGGATATCGTAATGGAGTGGAGTTTAGCGCATGAAGAAATTAATCTTTTGTTCACTCTAAGGTTGAAA